GTTTTTGTTTGTTTGGTTTGCTTTGAAAAAGGGGGTTTCTATGTAGCACTGGTTGACCTCAAGCTTATGGAGCTCTGCTCATTTTCCCTTCATGGGTCTTGATTAATGTTCAGTATCCCCTCTGATGAGGAACTGACATCTCTGACTTCTGGCAAAAAATGAGGCTAACCAGAGACACAGAGACATATCTGGCTTTTAGCCAAAGAAGAAATGGGCTCCTTTTCTTTAGGGTCTTTTAACCCTAAATGTCTTAGTTAACATCATGTGTTACACACCTGTATCAGAAAAATTCAACAAAATCTGCAGTCTGTAAGACTGTGCCCTGTGTTATTCTCAAAAGACACTGTAAGTACATTTTGATGCATTCCCAATCTTGTGTCTCATATCCTTTGGGCATCTGAAATCAAACTTATGCAGGAAATGGATGCTGGAAAAGAAAGACACGCTTGGTCTTATTTGACACAACTCACCTCATGCTTCAGCAGTAATTTCAACTCATAATGACTAGAAAGAGTTAAAAACACAGGTGGCACACATTCAGCAAAACAAAGACAGTAACAACAACAAAAAAGCTGAGTGTGGGTGGTGGTGGTGCATGCTTTTAAACCCTGCACTCTGGAGGGGGACAGAAGCAAGTAGATCTCTATCAGTTTACAGCCAGCCTGGTCTACATAGCAAGTCTAGACACTCAGGGCTACAAGGAAAAACTATCTTGAAAAACCAACCAAACAACTAAACAAGCAAACTAAACTAAGATGATAAAACAAAACAAGCAAGTAAGCACAGGAAATAAGAACAAGAAGGTTTTAAGGGTTTAGAGTGCATAGATGAAAGCAAGAGAGACAGTAGCCAATCTTCAGAGTTGCATCCTTATATAGAAATAGAAGAACTGAATGTGGAGAGACAGTTCAATGGGTGATAGTGCATTTGCCATGAAGGACTGAATTTAAATCTCCTGGATCCACATATAAGCCAGAGAGTGCTCCTACTCTGGACTGTCACAGGCCAGCTAGCCTGTGGCTTATGCAGTGGAAAAACAACAAAGGAATCTGAATCAAACAAGGAGAAAGATGAAGACAGACACATGAGGTTGTCCCCTGACTTCCATTTGCAAACCTCAGAATGCTGTGCTGGCTAGATTTGGTCAACGGGACATAAGCTCGAGTCATCTGAGAAGAGAGAACTTCAGTTGTTAGAATGCCTCCATTAAATTGGGATGTAGAAAATCTTGCAGGGCATTTTCTTAAATAATGTTTGACATTTGGCTAGACTATTGTGGGTGGTGCTATCTATGGCAGGTGCTATTGAATGGTATAAAAATCAGCCAGAGCAAACCATGAGGAGCACGCCAGTAAACAATACTACTTCAGAGCTCCATCATTAATTCTTGACTCAAGGTTCTTGCTTTAAGTTCCTATCTTCCTGACTTCCCTGGATGGTGAACACAAGGTCAAGATTAATCACATTCTTCCCAATGTGATTTTTGGTTATGGTGTTTATCAGAGCAACAGAAACCCTAACTACGACATGGAGCACACCAGTGTGAAGATGCAAAGACAGACATTGTGTGCATGTAAACACACACACACACACACACACATATACACTCACTCACACACACACTCATGCAGAAGTACAATTTAAGAAACAACAAATTCACATTGCAAAATTATCCCAAACATATAACAATTACAGGTGGATCCAGTTCTTCAAATTGAAGATATGAGTTTTATGAGAAACATAACACTATCTTAAAATGTAAAGTAGATCACCAGCCTCTCTTCAAATACTGTGACGCTTTGCTCACCTTTGTGGCTGTAGTAGAGTCTCCTAAGATGTCTCAGGTAGGACTTTTCTATCAGAATCTCTCCTGAGGAGGCCAGTGGCTTCTACCTCAGGGAGCAATCCAGGAGCTGTGAATATGGTGGCTACTGCTTTCTAATAATCTAACCCCGGCACCTATGCCAACTGCCTTGTCTTCTCCTCCATTATGACCTGTGTCCACTTGAACTGTGAGCCAGACACAACTGTTTCTCCTTTATGTTGTTTTTGTTGGGTATTTTGTAACAGCAATGAGAGCATTAACCAAGACAAGCATGAGTATCTGAATAACATGAGGTGTCCGTCATGGAAATTACCTTAGAAGAGGCCAGCAAAGGTAAAGCCACTTTCCCAAACTAATGTAGGTACTAAATTGTGGCCATAATGCAAACATTTGCCCAGTTCATTTCTAGGGTTCAAGTTCTTTGTGAAATACTACAATTTTATTTAATTGTGTGCTCACATGACTACATTTTGTGATTGTGTATACTAGAGAATAAATGTGGAGGTGAGAGGAAAACATGCAGCAGCCTGTTCTCTTCTTCTACCATGTAAGTGCCAGGACTAGAACTCTCTGAGCTATCTCACTGGTTAGGTGATCTCAGCAGTTAAGTAAATGCTCCCATGTTTTCTGGGTGTTATTTACCTTTCATGCTCTTGAGAAAACAACAGTGGCAACTTCTCTCATGTGTTTGCCCTCCTATGAGTGTAGGTGGGTTTGGTGATAGCTGCTCATACTAGCTGGCATTCTCATGTATAGTGCATATCAAAGTGCATTACGTAGATTCTGAAGATTGTATTCTTCCAGGCAAGCACTTCACCAATGGAAATATCAGGGTTCAGCTTGTTGTGTTCAGTGTTCAGGGCACACACCATGACACCCTCATTTACCTCTGCTTCAGAAATTGTGCATTAATACCAGAGAAAGTTCCATGAATGCAAGTATAACCTTGAATTCACTCCAAAGTATAAGAATTTCTAACTCTCTCAGGCTTTAGGACCTGACTGATAATGAATTATTTGAAGCTCCCCTCACACTTGATCATGATGAACGGTAGCTTCATATTCCTGGGATGGGGCATTAGTCACAGGGGCAGAAGTCAGCTAAGGTGACAAGCTTGTGCTCTATCTGGAATGATGTTAGGAGTCACTGAAGTGTTTTAAGCACGACTAGATGACATAATTCATTGTGCACATGCTGTTCCAAATTATAGGATTTTGTGTGAAGCATCAAATAAATTTTTTTTATTCCTAAGATTGTTAATGTGTCTTTTACAATGCTGGCTTTGCATTCTTCCAAATCTGATGGGTTTAGTAAAGTTAATATTTATCAAGTCCACAGCTGTGCTAATGCTCCAAATTATGTGACCCCTGTGACCTCTTCCTATTCTGGCTCCTATGTGAGCATGAAAGGACCTCTGTGCCTGTCACAGCCTGTAAGCATGAGGACACAGGCTGTTGTTCTTATCTATGTCTCTGTCCCTTAGTGAAACTATCCTTGTTGACATTATCTGTAAATTAGGCAGCAATTGTCAGGTGGAAATGGATTGAAACTGTATACAATATTATATCAGTTACTTTCCTAAGTTTAGCACATATAAGTGTAAAAGACTGTTCCTTTCGCCTGGAGGATATATCGGTTGGTAAAGTGCTTACTTTGAAAGCATGAGGACCTGAGTCTGATCCCTAGAGCATATAAAAGCAGGCATGGTGTGCACATTTGTAATCCTCATTTTGAGGTGTTGACAGGAAGATTCTTAAAGCTCACTGGTCGGGAATTCTAGCCAAGGAATAGGCAAGGAGAAAACAAAATGGTGACAAGTAAGAAACAAACCTCTGACATTGACTATTGGTGCCACATACAAGCCCACAAATACATGTACACACACATCCCCCAAGACAGCGTCCTCGTGTTTTCTTGCTAAACAATGTGAATTTTAAACTTACCAGCCAAACATTGTTGAACTCTGATGCCTTTTAGAGACATGTTAGATGCTGTGACACAGTGTCACCTGACACAGTCATGCTTCTTAGAGGTTCTTTAGCACAGTCTAGAAGACAGACCTGTGCTGATGATCCTAGCTTAGTACACTGCAAGGACATAGGGGCAGAATGTAAATCAGCAAGTACCAGGGACAGATAAGAGGGGAGATTTTATGATCAATGTACCCTTCAGATGGACTTAGAAGAATGAATGAAAGAATTATAGAAGTAATAGTGTGTGATGGTTATCTTAAACTGTCCACTTGACACAACCTGAATCACCTGGGAGGAGAGTCTTAAGGAGGAATTATCACTATTGGGTTGTTCTGAGGACACGTTTGTAGTAGGCTGTCTTAATTAAGTTAATGGGTGTGGGAAGACCCACTGTGGATGGCACCATTCTCTACACAGGAGTCCTTGTTTTAATTATGCTTCTTTTGCTACAATAAAGACCACAAGGAAACGGCTTATTTCAGCTTTCTTTCATATTTTCTCATGAAGGGAAATCAGGGAAGAAATTCAAGACAGGAACCTGGGATAGGAACTGAAGGGAGGCAATGGATTCATTCTGCTTACTGGCTTGCTCATCTTGTTTCCTTAGGGCACACAGGACAATATTCTCAGGAGTGGCATTGCCTTCAGTAAACTGCACTCTTCCACATTCATCATTAATAAATAAAATGCCCTAAAGAATTCTCTACTCTCCAGTCATATGGGGGCATTTTCTCCATTGAGATTCTATTTTCATAAATGACTCCAGCTGTGGTCAGTTGAAAATAGTTCAAACAGCATAGTTTCTGAATGATTTGATGGAAAGACCAAGCTGTGTATAATTAAGCCAGCAAGTAGAAAAATGTGCATTTGCTTCTGAGTTTCCATGGTTGTGGATGTGGTATGACTAGGTGCTTCGAGTTCCTGCAATTGTGGTTTCTCCAAACCGCTAGATGGCATCTTAAAGCTGGGAGCTAAAACAAGACTTCTCTCCCTTATGTTGCTTTCTTGTCAGGTTATTTTATCACAGCAACAGAAATAAAACTAAAATAGGGAACAAGTTCACGAAGTACTAGAACCCTGGGCTGTAAAGGCTCTTGGAGCATTACAGGAAGGGAAAGGAAGAAGTAGGCTTAAATATGAGCTACTGACCCCTGCAGAAGGATATTCAAAGCCAAGTAAAGTTTGTCTTTCTATCTTTCCAGCCATCTATGAGCAATCCTGTGAGGTGTACAGACACCAAGGGAACAAGGCTGGATTCTTCTATGTTGACTCTGATGGCAGCGGGCCGCTGGGACCTCTCCAGGTGTACTGCAATATCACTGGTAAGGGCCATGTTTTCCAAGCTTGCTAAACCTGGGTGACTGCTGGTATGAGAAGGAATGGAGTTTCTGCAATGGGACACCTGAGTGAACAAAATCTGACAGGACTAGCTTCAGTGGGGGAAGGAGCCTATCTTGATAAATCTTAAGAATTAGCTTAGTTATTTTTTGAGGGAATAGTAGAGGAAGTTTGGTAAAGGTAATGAGACTATTCCAAAAATCCAGAGTGAATTACCCACTATTTTCTGTAGGGCTTGCCAAGGTCATCTTCTCTATAGAAAATGAACAGTGAAAAGAAAAGGAGATAAGAACAAAATAAATAAACACAAAAAGCCAAGGCATAAAAGTCATTGGGGAAAATTCATTCATAGAAGGTTCTGTGAACTGTGTGTCTGAGTGAGTCCTACTTTCTTGAGCTTCAGCCGTTCATCATTGAAATGGGAATGAGATTACTACACCAAGAAGTTGTGAAGATCATAGATAATCAGATGTGTTGGAGCAGCAAGTGAGGACCTAAAAAATATAGGCTTCACCTCAAAAGGGAAAAGAGATTCTTGAAAACTATTTAAAAATAAGAAATTCTTATTCTAGAAACAAGTAGAAATGATCAAACTGAGAAGATAGATAAAGGTTACCACAAATTCCATGTTCCATCATATTAATAGTTTCATGATGATTTATTGTAAATCAAGATACTTTTCTATAGGCTAGTAAAACATCAGGTAGGAGGATTTCAGGAAAGATGATGTCTCTGCTCTGAGTCTCACATACTATCTGATAATTTCTTAGATTTTATGTTCATGAAACAAAGGGACTACTTCATTTATTTCAAGAGTACTAGCCAGGGAGTCACAGAATGTTGTGTTATATTTGGAGAAGGTCAATAAGTTACTGTTCAATAGGCCAATGTTTTATAAGGTAATTGTACATTGAATCTGCAGTTTTGACTTGCCCCCATCACTGAAGTTCCAATTAGCTTTGTACAAAATTTCTCTACAGGTATAGCTTCCTTTTATGTGCATTGTAGTTTTCCTGAAAGTCATCATCATCTCCACAATCTTCATCATTATCATCATCTTCTTCATCAGGGAGCGTGTATTCTATGAAATATCCTACTCGTGTGTAACTTCTTTAAAAATTAATTGCATAGGTTCAGAAATGACATCTGAGGTTGAGCAGGTAAAGGCCATTGGTGCCAACTCTGATGACCTGAGGTTAGTCCCTGGTTGCCACATGGTAGGAAGAGACAACAGACTCCACCAAGATTCCCACATGTTAAACTGGGCCGTGGTGGCACATACCTTTAATCTCAGCCCTTGGGAGGCAGATGCAGGTAAATCTCTGAGAGTTTGAGGCCAGTCTGGTCTACAGAGTGAGTTACAGGACAGGCTCCATAGCTCCAAAGTTACACAGAGAAACCCTGTCTCGAAAAACCACACACACACACACACACACACACACACACACACACACACACACACACAAGATTCCCACAATTGTTCTCTAATTCACACAAATTTACATTGGTACATATTTGCCCCCTTTACAAGTTAAAAAATATTTTAAAATGTTACTTAATGGGTTATTTATTCTATAATAAAATTCTACAGTGCCAAACATTGATGTGATATGTGATTTTTTTTGACCATTTAGCTTTACCAGTAGTCCTACTATGATTGTTAGATTGTCATTAATTGGCCTTCCTTCCCCTTCCTTCCTTCCTTCCTTCCTTCCTTCCTTCCTTCCTTCCTTCCTTCCTTCCTTCCTTCCTTCTTTCTTTCTTTCTTTTTTTCTTTCTCTCTGTCTCTGTCTGTTTGTCTGTCTGTCTGTCTGTCTGTCTGTCTGTCTGTCTCTCTCTCTCTCTCACACACACACACACACACACACACCCCACTACCAATTCATTTCAAACCCTGGTCTTCAGTGATGCCAGATGCACCAAGTAGCAAAGCAGCAAAAATCAGGCCTTTCACATTTCATAGAATATTTCTGCCCCTGGCTCCACTTCAGTGTGTCAGCATACTTATACAGCTCTTTTTGGACATGCAGTGTCCAAGGCACTAAGAATATGCAAATGAATGACCCTGTGGTTGTTCAGGTGACAGTGAACTCAGGAACACAGCCTTGTGATGCTGTAGGCAGAATGTAGGGGAAGCACTGCAAGAAGTAATGACAAAGCATATTTAATGGTTTTTCCAACCAAATGCAAAGACCATGCACCAGACAGTGTGCACAGAAAGAGCCAACATTTTGTCGTTGTGGTGGCTCTTGTTTGTTTTTGATCTCTTGCTTTCCCATAGTACTTCATCTAGTGAAGAGTGGCTAGATGCTAGCTACCTTGTAGTTGTTTTTCATTTTGTTTTTTGCTTTTTCATTTTTTTTGTTTTTGTTTTTGATTTGTTTCTTCAAGGTAGGTTTTTACAGTAGATATGGAGCCAGTCCTGGAACTCTCTCTGTAGACCAGACTGACCTGAAGCTCACAGAGATCTGCCTTTTTTGTAGTTGCTTTTGAGCAGGAATAGAAATTGTGTTCTTTGCTTTCTTGGTTGTTGTGACCTACTACTATTCAACAACCTACTCTAGGACTGGACTTGTTCTTTTCAAAACATAACTCTCACATGAGTTCTTAGTCAAAAATTACTGAATTCTAGGATAGTCTAGGATATCCAAATTCACCAAATGTACTTTTTTAAAGATTTATATGGTATTTAGATGCAAATTCACCCTGGTCCTTGCTTTCCAAAAAGAGGTGGTTTGGGTATAAGAGAAGGCAAAAAACAAACAAACAAACAAACAAAACGCCAAATACCTACTGCTAAGTAGAAGATGTCACACATATCCAGGAACTCTAGGGTGACTGCCAGTTACTGAGTTCAGACATTTCAGGAAGTTTAATTGGAACTTCCAAATATCATCTCTGTTAATTCTACCAGAAAAAAATCTAAGCAAATAGATTTTTAAAAAGTCTTCAACTTGTATGGAAGAAATAGAATATCAGAATTTCATGATTTGCTGCAGGTAACAAACAAAGAAACTATTTACCCAGCTGGGACCATGACATTCATCTGGTCCAGTAATAATCCACATCCCTGAAACATCAACTGGACACTCTGTATTGCATATTTCTTTATCATAATCAGCTGCTGTTGCATAATCCTTCTCTATGCTTTGAGTATGTATTCCTCTCATTGGTTAATAAAAATGCTGCTTTGGCCTATAGTAAGGCATAATAAGGGTAGGTTGGAAAGCCAAACAAACCAGAGAGAAGGGGGAAGTCAGGAGAGGCAAGTCAGTCACCAAAGAAGCAAGATACCAGGGGACTGGTAAAGTGACAGCCATGGGACAAAATATAGATTAGTAGAAATGGGTTAATTCAAATGCAAGAGCTAGATAGTAATAAGCCTAAACCATAGGCCAAATGTTTTGTAATTAATATAAGCTTTTGTGTGTTAATTTGAAACTGGCAGTTCTGGACAAAAGAAAATCTCCACCTCCATTTGCAACCAGCATTTTGATTTTTTGTTATAAAATTAATAAATGTTTATAATTAAAAATGGAAAAATGTATTAAAATGCTAAAACAAATTGTAATCAAAAATCAAGGTATTAAGTTACTAAATTCTTAGAAATTTAAACCTGTTTTTCTGTAAATAAATTTGTTCTTTTAAACATAAGATACACTTAAATCACATATTTGTATTTGAGTGCCCACATTCAGGCTTTTTGCTGTTCCAGTAAAACATATTTTGAAATTAAAATGTATATATTGCAATAGCACAAAAAATTAAACTTTCCAAAATAGCATAAGTATAAGAACATAGAAGACTTTATTCATCCAGAACTGTGCTTCTGAAGCCTACCTCTTCTAGGGTGTATTGTTTGATAATTTATTCATTTATGGCTAAGGAAGAATGTGTAATTGATCTTATGGCTTGCTAATTTGGTGCTGTAGTCCTGGAGGAACCAAAACTTGGGAACTGTGTCCTGATGGTACTGGAGAAATCAGGATTCCCCTCTTGACATTCCTAGTCCCATTAATAAAAGAATTTAAGAATAAGGTCAAAGGCATCTCCAAGAGAGTTTTATTACAGTTGAAAGGGAAACACCTCAGGACAGGTAAAAGCTGCACTTCGCAGAAGCTGCCCAGAGATGGAGGATGTGGAAGGAAATAAAGAGTGTGTTTCTTGAACTAAGGAGGCATGGAGATGGGCGATGTCATGGCTGAAAGCTGTATGGTGGGAGGGGAATGTTTGAGCAAGAGTGAGGACTACCCAGTGTACTGGAAGGTGCACATGTGATAGCTGGTCAGCGTCTGAAAGAAAGAGACAAAAAAGAAGAAAGAAAATCTGGGTCACTTGTTAGGAAGACTCAGCTTCGGGTCATGGCTTCTTGGGTTGTAGGGACTAAGCTAGAAAATGCTGATTGTTGGAAGGAAAAGCAGAGAATTTCCAAAGTGGGACAACTATTTTGGCTACTTCTGGTCATGGTTTGAGGTGGTCCTTGGGGTGTGTGATTGATCCAGCTCCCTGAAGTGTTGGGCTCCACTGAGGCCAGTGATTCTACTTCCATAGCAAAAAGCTTTTCCACAATGGGCCTGTTACTGCTGCTGTGATTCTGAGTCAATAGTTTAGATGGTCATAGATAGGAATTTCCATGTTGATGATCAAGGATCAGCCTTTATTTGGGGAATCTTAAATCTTCTATGTTGTTAAATTGGAGTGAGTTGTGATGCAGTGAAATACATAGCAAAGCCATCCAGAAAGTGTGACCTTAGCACCAGGGTTTATGCTGGCTGTCTTTACAAATGCCAATAAACTGAGATAGGAATTGAATTATTTATTCACATTTTAAAAATTTACTGTTTTAATTTTTTTTTTATTTTATATACCAATCCCAGTTCCTTCCCTCTCCCTTCTCCCACTCACTCCACTCTCCACCCACCTACCCCATCTACTCCTTAGAGAGGGTAAAACTTCCCATGGGGGGTTAGTAAAGTCTGGCATATCAATTTGAGGCAGGACCAAGGCCCTCCCCCATATCTATTTTTTAAGCTTTTTTTTCCCTCAAAGATCTGGACATCTGGAAAGCTAGAGAATTACTCCCCAGATCTATTTTCTTATCCCATCTCCAGCTACCAAACTTTACAAGAAATTAAAATAGAGGCAGTCAGTCATTCCAAAGTTGAATCTTGGTCTTCTAGTTCAGTGGTGAGTCTTGTGAGATTTTCTGCCTGTACCTCTGATCACTATCATAGGGATATTGTTCCCATACTTTCAAGGTGCCATCAGGTTCAAGTGTAACCCATAACAAGAAATTATCAGTTTGTACATACTGAACTACTTATATACCTGTAAGAGTAGGCATTACATGTACACAATTAGTTGTTTACACTGTGGAATTGCAAAATCTTTTCTAAAACATGAAATACAAATGTGTTTTTATAATATTGGGGAATTATCAATTTTTTAACTTTGTTAGCTTTTCAGGTTTCTGGTGACCTTAGTTGGGGGGTAAAGGTCAAAGAAAACTTGGCTACCTCAAGAGCTATCTACAGTAAGTAGATTTCAGATTTTTGTTCAAGAATTCAAAGAAGAAATTCAAGGTCCTGAGATGGTGGGTTTTAGAGAGAAATTTGCTACTTATCCACAAATGGGCACTTATGGGGTAAGGGAGAGAGAGAATGCAGAGGTCCTATATAGAGAAAATATGTGCCCAGGGAACTACTGGGCTGGGGCATTCTAAGGGACATCCAGCAGAAACATTTTCTGAGTGTAGAGTTTTGGCCTTCTGAAATCAAAAGGTCATCCATCAGACGCTTGCCCATTTGGTTTCATTGAATGTAGAATAGACAAAATTGGACTCCTAAAACATAATATAGACAACTGTTACCCCTGTGACTTATATATCAGTGTACATTATCTACACAGCAAAGCTTGTTTGAATCTGGTAATGTACTGCCTAGTCACAAGGCATAGTCATTCATATTCACTCTCTGTGAATATATTTTTTTAGTAAGGCTAGCAATTTAACAAAGTAAATTAAAAGATGAATGTCCTCAATAATGTGAAGGAACCTCATGCAATTGACTCAGAGTCAGAGAAGTATAGTGGCATGCCTCAGATACAAAGGAATTGACAGAATGTATGGACTTGAACTGTAAATCTCCAGAGTTTCTAGCCTGCTAACTGATCCAGAAGATTTTAGTAATAGTAAGC